AACCTACAGCGGGTCAATTAGTTCTTCAAATGATACTTTTAAGTTAATTTTATAGTTTTGTGATATTAATAATGCTAATGTATTGATATTTTTCTAGTTTTGATTTAATTTGCTTGTTTAGCATCGTCACAGTTGCTAGGTGACATCACGTAAGGACGGGAGGCTAGACCGTCCAAATTCACAGCCTCTTTTTTGCCGGTCTTCCCGGTCTACCAAGGACCTGGCCCGCCGAGACCGGGTAGTCTGGGTCCTCCGGAGGACCCGGCCTGTCGTTTTGGACACAGCGTTATTCTTCTCTGTCAGTAAAAACTGATTTATTTTACGAGTTTACTTTCAGCTGAGTTTAAAAAGAAAATTATTTTCAGTGTTTCAGCTGCTAGTTCAAAAAGCTGAAGCTAAAAGTAGCAGAGCACCAGCTAAAATGCAACAACTCTATACAGAAGTTGAAAATAAAAGATTAGTTGTAAAACAAAAGTAGACAAAGGCTAGCTAAAATGGAATTAGGACTGCTAAAATAGCAAAACAGTAGCTAAAATTTGAAAAATAAATGCTAATGTAAAAAGGCTAAATGGAAGTTAACAATAGCAAAAGAATGGTTAGAAGTCAAAAATAGAAAACAGCTAGCTTAAAGTGRCAAAAGGCTAATTGTAAGTAGCAAGACAATAGCTAAAAGCTAAAGAAAAAGAATAGCCAAATGCAGCAAAAACAAGCTAAAACCAGCATTTGGTAGCTAAACACTAAAAGAAACAAAACAGCAGCTTATTGTTTCGGAAGGCTAGCTAAAAAAGTGAAACAGTAGCTAAAAATAGCAAAAAAAAAGGCTAATGTAAAAAGGCTAGATTGACGCTAAAGGTAGTAAAACAATATCTAAAAGTAAAAAATGGAACACGGCTGTCTGAAAGTGGCAAAAAGCTAATTGTAAGTAGCAAGACAATAGCTAAAAACTCAAGAAAAAGAATAGCCAAATGCAGCAAAAACAAGCTAAAACCAGCATTTGGTAGCTAAACACTATACAGCAGCTTATTGTTTAAGAAGGCTAGCTAAAAAAAGTGAAACAGTAGCTAAAATTAGCAAAAAAAGCTCACGTAAAAGGCTAGATTGATGCTGAAGGTGGCAAAACAATGTCTAAAAGTAAAAAATGGAACACGGCTGTCTGAAAGTGACAAAAAGCTAATTGTAAGTAGCAAAATAGTAGCTAAAAGCTACAGAAAAAGAATAGCCAAAAGTAGCAAGACTAGTTAGAAGCAGCATTGGATAGCTAAACACTAAAAGAAACAAAACAGCAGCTTATTGTTTCAGAAGGCTAGCTAAAAAAAGTGAAACAGTAGCTAAAAATAGCAAAAAAAAAAGGCTAATGTAAAAAGGCTAGATTGACACTAAAGGTAGCAAAACAATGTCTAAAAGTAAAAAATGGAACACGGCTGTCTGAAAGTGGCAAAAAGCTAATTGTAAGTAGCAAAATAGTAGCTAAAAGCTACAGAAAAAGAATAGCCAAAAGTAGCAAGACTAGCTAAAAGCAGCATATGCTAGCTAAACACCAAAAGTAACAAACTGCAGCTTTTTGTTTCAGAAGGCTAGCTGAACTAAATGAAACAGTAGCTAAAAAAATGCAAAAGAAAAGCTAGCTTGACACTAAATGTAGCAAAAGAATGTCGAAGTCAAAAATATGAGCCTCTTGGCTACTACCGCCCCACAGTTCAGCTGGATAATTAATTCGGCTGAATCCGTGACATTTTTACGTTCAKTGAGTCGATTAGCTGCAGCAGCCATCTTGACCTGGGTCGACCCCAGACGGTTGTAAACAAGCAGATTAGATTCTGACTGGTGCTTCGTTAGATGTTAAAGTTTTATACAAACTTTACATTAATAAAGTTATTTCATTCAAATACAAAACAAACCTTATTAGTGTTGAAAGGACCAGTAAACAGCTTTAATTATGAACAAAGGTTGAGTCGTTCGTTACACAGAAGTTGTCAGACTGATTTTTATTCTCAGTGTTTGAGGCAGGAGGAGCGCCCCGACATCTATTAAAGAGTCTTTAGCTGATTGTGGCTGAATCAGGACATAATTAATCACCTGTAAACCTGCGGATTGTGGAGATCAGCTGAAAACAAGCTGAAGACTTTCTCTGAAAATACAAACCTGTTAAAAAAAACAGCTGTTTGTTGAAACTAAAATATTAGATTTTTAGTTTGCATTAGGCTCCATGTGTAGTTTATAAAATAACTGAGGATATTTCAAAATGTAAAAAATAATAATAATCGTCACTGAGGATGACGGGGGGATGGCTGCACCCAAAAAACAGTTGAAGCCCCCCGCATTGGCCAGTTTAAAGTATTTAAATTTTTTAAATAAAAATAAAGCAAAGCAGCCACTTGTTCATGAATAATCCAAACCAGGAGGCAGTTAAATCCTGATTTGTTCAGCTTAAATACAGACGATGTTCAAAGTCACAAAGTATTTACCGAAATTTGTAAAAAAACAGAATAAAAAATTCAATAAGGGCTGATTCAGAGCTCTGAGGTTCAAGAAAGGAAATGCTTTAAGAACAAATAAAATCAACTCAAAGTGTGTTAAATTTATTTTTGATACAATTATAAACCATATTGCACAGGTCCATAT